GGGACTTGCAGGAGCAGGTTCGCGGTTTGGAGCGCGAAACCGACGACACAAGGTCCGAATCCGCCACAGCTCTCTCCAGATATAACCGGATCTCCACCAGCCTCGCCCTTCCACAACCAGATCGCGGAGGGAGATCTCCCCTCGGAGGTTCTACCCGTCTGGCCCAGGCGGACCGGGATCGCGCGTTGGCAGATCTTGCGCTCGCCCGCGCGACCCTGACGCATGTCAACTTTGATCGAGATCGGGTCTTCACGCAAATCACCCAGGTCACTGAGGATCGGAATCGGGCTCTTGCCGATCGCGACACGGCCCTCCAGAGGCGTGACCAAGCAATTGCTAAAACGCGACCAAGTTTGCCTGGACCTCCTCACCGAAGCGGCTCGCGTCGCCCAGCTGGGTAAGTGAGCTTCGTCGTTCTATCTAGCACGATCTCTCTCTGACACTCGTTTTCCAGAGATGATGACCTCGAAGTCGTTTGCTTGGAACTTCAGGGTGGGAACACCGGATGGCGGATCTCCAGCAGGCCCACGATCAACTCGGCGAATTGCGAGATCTGGCCGAAGGCGATCTGGCTGAGGACGATCTGCTCCTCACGCATCTCGCTAGCCGGATCCGAGAGAGCCAAGCGGCCCGGATGCCGAAACGGGATCGAAGTCAGCCCAGTTCTCCTCCCCAATTACCGCCTCTCAAGACCCCCGCGGCGATCGGCCTACTTCTCCACGGGCTGACCAAGATAACCCCGAGATCGAAGGCCCCAAGGGTGAGGAGCTCGAGGATAAGCGCGAGATCCCAGGCGGGGGTGGGGGCGATCCTGACGATGACAATCCCCCTTCCTCAGAGGATGGATCTTCGACTCCTCCTCCTTCACCTCACAGATCTCCTGGTGGTTCACCCGGTGGTGGTTCATCTCCTCAACTGAATCCGCCATTGTTCCCTGCCGAGGCGAATGTTCCCCTCCATTCTACGACCCGAATTTTCACGGCAGCCGAGATCACCCCGTGGGATCCCGCTATCGTGGTGTCCATACCGATCATCGCCATGATTCAGTCGACTTTGGCCAAGTGGTTGCCGATTCCGCCCGGCTTCCTGTTTCCTGCTCGGTCGCCCTTTGTTCGGGCTCCGATACCCAGGTCCGGTTACCGTTCCGAGCTGATCACCGGTGCCAACGTGTTGGCCCTGATGGCTACGAAGCCATAGCTCGTGCTTCGACGGAACCGTCCCACTCGGCTGACTTTCGATCACAACTTGCACTGGCGGGCCAACAACCTTCTATGGCAGATAGCCGTGTCGTATGCCGGTCTGGAGGAAGATCACCTGATAGCGTATTGGGAATCGACCCATTACTTGGAGGTCACGAAAGCGATGCTTGCCTCGGACCCCGATCTCTTCATCTACCACCAGGATCAACGTCAGCGGCGCATCTGCGTTGGGGATCGCTGGCGGAAACTGTTCGGGGCGTGCCTCCCGATGATGAGAAGCCAGTGGGTCGATATCGACCTCTTGCTGGATCCTTACTTCCTCCACCTGCCGATGCCCCAACATCGAGTACGCTGGTATCCCGGATCTGTTTCCAGGGCGGTCAATCTCGCGCAGCCAACCGCGAATCTCCCCGAGCCGACCGACCTGATCACTGCCCTGTTCGAGTGCGGTCAGGCCGATCCTTGGTGGAACCATTACCGCGATTCAGGCACCGCTCATCCATCGCTGCAGATCCCTCGTCTCGCGAACAAATTCAACCCTCCAGCGGCTCCTTGATTCGTGGATCCGACTTCACTTCGGGGAAAACCTCCGTGATCCCCACTCACCATCCCGCGATCGCGATTTCTTCTTGTCGGCCCCGTAATTCACAAATCTCAGTCACATCTTCAACTTGTTTGCTCTTTTCATCGTTCCCTCTACATGATCTCTCTTCAGACTCATCACACCTTCCGTGATCTCTTGCGAAGGTCAACGTTTCCATATGCACATATACAACACGGACTCCTGATCTCAGTCTCATCATACTTGCATTACCTAGGGGTCAAGACGATCAGACAATCTCACCCCGTCCTCCTTACATCTCCTCATGCGATTGCATCACGTTGAAACGGTTACGATTAGCCCGTTCTCGCAGGAAGGCGTTCAGTATTGCTCCGCAGTTGAGATCGGCTTCGTCGACCCAGGTCGGCTCGTCATATCCTATCTAATGCATCAGAAACTCTCGATAGATCCGACCGAATCGCATCTTCTTCCCACTCCACACATCCGAGATCCGTTCGACTTCGTACTCGTCGGCTCCGATCTGGGACCCAGCAGTCTTCCGGAAGCAGGATCTCATCGAAGTCGAGGCGATTTGATTCGTCCACCGTGAGTTCCACTCACGGCCGATCCTGAAAATCCTTGACCAATTTCAGCTTCGACACGTGAACTACTGGGAATATCTGGTACCCAGTACCCGCGATCTTGAGCTTTATGCTGAATTCGTTGATCTTTTCGGCAACCCGGAATGGCCCATGCCACAGGTGAGCCAATTTCCCCGCGTATCCTTCCTTTACTCGGTCTAGGTATAACCAAACGCGAGATTCATCCTCGATCTGGTGCGATCCCACGTCCTCATTATGTCGGCTGGTCCGATCCGCAATGGCTTCCCTCAACCTGGCGTTGACTTTCTCCTGGGACTGCTGATAATATTGTTGGACCCGATAACGCCACAGCCGCGCGTCTCGATCGCGCTGTCTGGAACATCCAACTAGCAGTGTAGCCTCAAGCGTCGATCTCGGATCCCACCCATGCACCCGATAATGAGGGGTATCCCCTCGGATCCGATCGTGGGCCGTGTTGAACGCGAAGATAAGTCGCTCAGCATACTCGTCCCAATCCTTCTGATCCAGATCGCGAACGTAGATCTTGAGCGCCCTGGTCGCAGTCTGCACCATTCTCTCGGCAGTCCCGTTGCTTGCGGCCGATACGCCATTGTCACTTGCTGCCGTTGTCCTAGGATCTTGTTAAACGCCCGGAAGAAGTCGGACATGAAGCCGGGTTCTCGATCATGCCGGATCATTTCGCTGGCTCCGAACCATCGAGATACACACTCTTCGTACGATTCCGGGACCGTCTGGGCCGATCGGGACGAGCTGGCTTTCGCGATCACGTATCCCGTGAACAGAGCGACCCAGATCAATAACTCGGTATTCCCCTTGTGGGATCTGGGCAGCGACGGTATATGCCATGGCAATGATCTGGAACGGGTACGTCGCCTGCAAGTTCCCCGGTGATTCACCCCGATCACCGGTTTTCCTTTTCCCGTTTCACAGTCCACGCATTCCCCCACATATCGCTGGACGCTCCGATATAATCCTCTCCAGTGGAAGTGATCCCTGATCCGCTGGTAGGTACGACCCCACTCCCTGATGTCCTCCTCCCAGCGTAGTGTGATAGTGGTGTAACACGTCCGATTGCAATGTTTCGGGCACCACCAGTCTCAACAACCGATCGCGGTCCTCCACCGTTCTCGGGGTGGGTGGGCAATAAAAGAGTAGATCCTGCTCATCCACCTCATAGTCGGCCGTGATCTTGCCGTACGACCTTTTTTCTGCTTGTGTGAGGTCGGCGATCGAGCCACTCAGATATTTCTTCATACCTGCGATCCAGACTTCCTTCTCCTGGCCTGCCTGATCCGATCGACTCGAATCTCCCGGATCAGGTCCTCTCGCATGACTCCCACGGGTGATCTTACTCGAGAAGCTCGGGTGGTGACCGCTGCAACTCGCTACACCGGGGCCTCGGTCTTGGGAATCAGGATTTCGTCCAACCGGCTCAAGGTGACCAGGCCTTGGTATTCGGGTCCTCCTTGAACCTCGATCCCGCCTTGTCGTTGCAAAGCGGCACTCGCTAGACTGTCGGCACTCCCATTCCAGTCTTACTTCACATGTACTAGTTCATGATCGCTCCATTTCCTCAGGCGATCGAGGGCCTTCCGCTTCAATAGCGTCAGCCTGGGCGCTATGCAATCGATCTCGCCCCGTACTTGTCGGATCACTAAGTTGGAATCACCGCAGATGACTAGGCGCTTGTGATCTAGGTTCCCTAGCATGTCGAGTCCCAGGAGCAGGCCGTTATACTCGGCTTCGTTCACAGTGAGACTCTCGAGATAGCGCGATCTAGCTTTGACCACCTCCCATCCGGGCAGACTCCACACGATCGCGCTGAACGCACCCCCTCCACACTTCACTCGAGCCGATCCATCAAAGCTGACTACTCATAATTTCTCTTCTCGATCCACGGTGGGTATTGGCGTTTGGATCCGGCGTTTAGGTTCCTTCCGAGGAGCGATGTCGGTCAGAGCGTCGTCCATCTTCGCCCTCGGCGTGATGCTGGCAGCGATCGCTCCCAGTATCTCGTCCTCGCCTCTCATGCACTTCGTGATCTCGAGAGTCCACGGGACCAGGAGAGCTGACCATTGCCCTAGGCGACCCTGTAATCCTGTTGACTTGAACAGCCAGGCTAACGTGGAATGCCTCGTTTGGACCCGGATCTCGCGTCCCGGATCTCGCGTCCCACTAGTAAATTGTAGTAGAGATCCAAGATCCTCAGCAATGCCAACACCTCCTTTTCGGTCACATTGTAATTCAGCTCGTTCGTCTTCAGGGTGCGGCTTGCAAACGCAACCGGATGGTAGATCCCTTTCTGTTCTTGCGTCAACGAAGCGGATATTGCCCAATCACTGGCATATACAACAACTACCGGCGTTCTCGCCTTGTCGAAGTGGCGGAGAATTGGGGTCGTCGCGATCTTGATTTTCAGGGTGATGAAGGCCATTTGCGCTCTGATCCACCTCTCATCTAATGGTTCCGTCAGCTGCAGTTCCGGTGGACCGTGATCCCGTGCAATCGGGTCGTTCTGGTCCATGATTTTCCTTAGATCCGATCGTTTCTCCAGTTCTGCAAACTCCACCTCGCGTAGTTCATATAGCATCGAGGCATAAATAGCGTAGTTTTCAATGAATCGGCTGTAGTAATTCAAACTACCCAGGAATGACTGCATAAATCGAAGTGATCCGGGGAATGGCAGATCGGTAAGAGATTTCAGGGCTTTTGGGTTCGCCTCCAGAGCTCCGATCGACACTCGATGTCCCAGATATCCCACCTTATCCATGCCCCAGAAGCTCTTGGCTACACTGATCGACAAGTTCCACTTATCGCAAGCCTCCAACAGATCTTCCACCCTTCGTCACATTTGATCCCACGATCCCGCTGCGATCATGATGTCGTCAATGTATGATCTCCGTCCCAACACCGACTCGCGATCAGGATCGTCCGCAATCCCTGTCTGGAACACGTCCGTTGTGGCTCCAGCGTCGCCGGCTTGCGAGATCTTCAAAAATCCATACAGCGCATTGTCTACGAGGCGTTGATAAATCTGCTTCTTTAGGCCAAAAGGTCTCCATTCGAATAATCCAAACGGGGTGATAAATGCTGAGATCTCGCGAGCCCGATCTGTCATGGGCACGACCCAGAAGCCACTGGCCATATCCAGCAAGCAATACCATAACGCCTTATCAAGGTCCTCGAGCAGATCGCTGATCAGGGGCATAGGGTAGGCCATCAACCTCGTGAGGCTGTTTACCAGCTTGTAGTCGATGCATAACCTGATATCTACTCCGTTGCTCTTGCGGACAATCACGATCGGTGAGGCCAATGGCGATGTCGAGGGTCGGATAATCTCGGCTGCCAAGAAGCCCTTGATCAGGCCTGCGACTTTTTCTCGAAATCGCGTGGGTACTTTCTGGGTTCGCAGTACGATCGGTTTCGCATTCCCGATATCGATGTCACACACGACGCCCCTGGCCGCTGGGGATAGGGCGTTCCCTTTGCCGATCAGGAGGTGTCGCTTCTTCCAAATGATCTGACGGAACTTCTTGATCTCCTGGTGTGGCCGATCCGGAGTCTCCCACCTGCAGATCCTCGATGCTGACCTTCGCGGTCGTCGAGATCGGAATTTCGGGGAGGACAGCGAGGTTTCCCTCGAGATCTTCAGCTGTAAGATCCCCACGATAGTATATCTCATCATCGTCCTCAGGATTCTGTGGGGTGGTCGGTGCTCCTTCCGCCAGCGGATCTCGTAGTTCGACGCCCTTGGTCGGGTGGATCGGGGATTTTACGTCGAATCCTTCACCGGGATCGAGTTTGATCTGGGTTTGAGGGTTTGACAGTTCGGATTTCCCGTTTTTGGCTCGATATCCTTGGTGCCAGTCCGATTTTCCGTATTGATATCCTTGGTGTCTGTCCGATCGGTGGCCTGGTCCGGCATGCTCCCGTATTGATATCCTTGGTGTCTGTCCGATTGGTGGCCTGGTCCGGCATGCTCGCACTTATCCTGCTGCCCCCAACATCGCCGCTCCGGTATCGATCGACGTTGGGATTTTCCGATGGCGTAGATGGATGTCCCCCTTCCGGATCGGGAAATTCTGCCTCGATCTGGGCTACGTTGGCAATTCCCGCCCTCGATTGAGATTCTAGGGTCGATATCAACGTTCGATCTCTGTCGAATATCAGCCGTTTCTGCCCGACGAAGTATCGATCGTTGCGTGGGATACGATGGTCATTGTACTGCCGGCTCCGCAGGATCCTCCATAAGTTCTGGAGGCTCTGATCTAGTATCCACCGTCGATTCCAATGCCAGATTCTGCAATTCCCGGTAGCGTCGTGACCCGACGGACTCGAATCCTGGGGATCGGGTACTTTGTCCTGATCCAGTATCATACCAACGTCCAGACGGTGGTCCAGCCGGAGGATCTCTTCTCCAATGTTCGAGATCACCAGGTAGCGGATCCGACCGGGGCCTTCCGTCACTGTCGGTACCCATCGTTCTCCTCTGTGGCCGACAATTTTATCCTCGCCGCTGTCTCTTCCGACCGACCAACCGGGATTCGCAGACTTCGTTCGAGGATCACTGATCTCACTTTCCCCCCATACAGTCTCTTACGACCATTAAGTGGTATTCCGACCTCGTCAGGCAGACGCATCAATCCGTCAGCGAGGTCCATTCGCACACTGGCCGGGACCATGAAATCCATGCCTAGGATCCCATTCTGTCCTGATAGGTCTCCGTTCCAGATCTCGAAAAATACACCAGATATCCCGCTAACGTGATCTTGATCCTGGTTCTTCCTTCCGTAGTATATACATTATCACCGATTCCCACACATTCCTGTCTCAGACTAGTGTCAAAATTACATCCCACCTTACGAGCAAAGGTGATATCCACGATTGATACCTCAACACCAGAATCCAGGATCAGGATCGCTCTCTCTTAATTGATCCTGCCCGAGATCTTGGATTGTCGGAACCATTTCCCCGGTGCATGACGTTTCCAATATCCCGGGACTCTCCTCTTTTAAGATCTAAGGCCACTTCTGTGTTAGATCTACTGAATTCGCTGATCTGAGGGAGGCTCGCGATCTTGGCGGTGTACGAATGCAAATTACATGTATTACCGCGTAGATCCGACTCCTTCCTACCTCGATGTGTTGTCGCCTTGTTCACGTAAGCGTAGATGTTAGAATGCTCGGCTCGTACCGGATTCCACCCCGGCGAGCGCCCTCGTTTAACATCTTCTCCATTTGTTCGGGGAACAGCCCGGCGTGTCGAGTCGGTTCATACCATTTGCGTATCTGGTTGTAGAATTCTTCCATGGGGTATTCTCCTGCCTCATGGACGTCCCCGCATCCACGACACGCATACAGACAGCGACCCGTTGGGTGACCTCTCCTTCCACACTTTTACATGTCAGACGCTTCCAACAATCCAGATCCGTGTGTTTCCTGGACCCACAATGAGAGGAGCGGTCTCGATCTTGATGATCTCTGTCCCCCGGGCTGCGACGTTTGGGGATCCGGCCTCCCTCAGGCGCTTACGTTCGGGATCGTGCTGGATCCGGGTTTTGTGAGGCGCCCCCAGTGCCGATCAACTTCTCTACCGCCGCGGCGAGGAAGATCCTCCGCAGGTCACCTTCCGAGTTGGATCCGTCAGATCCCGAGACCCCTTCCGACTCGGATCTCGGATCTTGCGCCTGGATCGCGGGTACTATGACACGGGCTGGCGCTGACGGAGCGCTGGCCGGGGCCTTCTATCGAAATTTCGACCCGAACACGGATCTGCGTTGCCTGCTCTTGGCTCGTTCCCGCGCACGGAGAACTTCCTCAAGTTCGTCGACGTCGGCCAATTGTAACAGCGTTAGGCGGTTTGCCAACTCGGGATCGCCCAACGTCTCGATGTAATGATCGACGTGTTCCCGACGCGCTTTTGGGTTTCCGTCCTTTATCTTGAGTTTAGCTCGTAGAGCAGCCACGTTCAGTCGATAGAGATAATCAAGGGGGTCTCCTCAGGTCTTTTCTGAGCATGGTAGTACTGCCATGCCACTGACATATCCAGACCGCAGCATTCGGTCTGGAAACTTTCGAGCAAGTCCGCCCATTTGGTCTTGGTGGTCCGACTTAACTGTCGGTGCCAGTTCTTGGCTGGCCCTACCGTCAGATCTGCGAACGTGAGGCATTTCTCCTCTTCTGTTGCTTGATCTCGTTAGAATGCCGATTTCTCCTTGCCGACCCAGGCTCTGGTGCGATCTTCGTCCATATCTTTCCCGGTAAATTCTTTCAGATCCGAGATGGCCAAATATCGGACCCTCTGGATCAGCGATGACCCTCCAGGCCCGATCGCTGCCGAGGCGACCGCAGCTCGGCCGGAAGTGTGACCGGAGGAGCTCGGAATTCCGAGATCGTCAGGATCGTACTCCCAGAGTGGGGATCCGGGGTGCCGACGGACTCCATGTCGATATCCTGCGTTCCGAGAGGTGGGGGTTGGACCGTCACCAGGCTTTGTTCCTTCAGGAATCGATTCATCGCCATCTGGAAGTATTCGTCCAGCCTGTTTGGCCGGTCAAATTGGTCGTCGGAGTGGTTCGTCCTGCTGGGATCTGGCTTCTCAGGAGTTTGCCTCAGTCCTGCCGGCCGTTGATCCAGCCTATTCACGCGTGATCTCAGGTGCTTGGCCCCCGATGAACCTAGCGACATGCGTTGTGGGGTTCGGGGAGAATCTGAAATGGGTTCCGAGGTAGCCGACGCGTAGTGTGACGGCCCGGTCTGGTAGTTCAGATCGGGCGTTTGTACGTATTTGTCGACCAAGATCTTGAGCGAGTTGTAGAGATCTTGAGTCGCCGCCTTGCCCCCAGTTCCATCTCGAACAGGGAATCCGGATCAAATTCTCCTGCTACTAGTCCGGCCTCTTGGAGCAGATCTAGCAGGATCTTCACTGCATTCAGCCTATCTGTGTTGGTGTTGGGCTTGGATATCGGGCCTGTCAGGTCGCCGATCTAGAGGACTTGTATGATCGCGAGGACAGGGTCATGTAGCAGTGTCTCGCTCAGGATCTCCCGATAGTAAGCCTGCTCGATCATGTCTTTGGCGATGGTCGATCTCGGTTTATTCACGTCTTCCGATTCCGAATCCGGTGCCTTCAGCTTCGTCCAACGGTCTTGAGCTTCTTTTTCTTAAACGACCTTGCCACAGCCACCGACTTGGTGGACGGTTTGGACTTCGACTTAGTCATTTCCATGTCGGTTGTGTACAGATCTAGGTTCTCTTCTAGATCTGCGGTGGCCGTCTTCGCGGCCTTGAGAGGAATTCGAGGCTTTTCTTCAAGATCTGGGTCTTGATCCGGGTCCGCCTCGTGTCTGTCAGCAGAGACCCTCTCAATACCCCGCTGATCTGTTGATCTTGTTGTATTAAGCGATGCCTCCGTCGATCCAGCATTTGTAGGCACTTCTTCCCTGTGTTCTTCTTTGACCTTGACGTCTTCTTGGGACTCACGGTGAAATCCCGAGTCACCAGAAGATCCGGGCACGCACACCATTGTGGCGAAGCGGGATCAGCGAAAATCGCGTTGACGCAGGTCTCGATACCACTGGCGCCCGGACACCGACTAACGAAGGGGGTCCTCCGATGATCCGTGATCTGGTTGTGTTCTTGCTCACCTTGTTTACCCGACGACGGTCGTGTTACGTTCTCCTGAGTGACTCGGTCGATGTATATCTGGAAAGGGTGGAACACAGGGGCTTGAGATAGCGCGGAAATTCTTCGCTGTACCTCGCGTTGGTCGATCTCGGTCGCAGACGAGTCCTTGAGTCACGATCGACCTGCCTGGTTGTCGATCCAGGTCTTTAGAGGGTCCAAATACGGAGATCTTGCTCCTTCCTTGTGTATGCTTGCCGCTTCTAATAGCGGGGGACTTGTTGGGTCTGACGCGTTGTGATTGGAGAAAATTTCTCAGCCACTCATTCCAACTAAATCGGTCTAGGGATGTGCCAGAAATTGTGGAGTATGACTATTGATATTCGGTGATGGTCTATTTGGTGAAAATACGATGGGTATATTTCCGGTATCCAAAAGATGGGTAAGGTAAGCAACCAGTTGTCCGTCACTTTCACGATGTTCGGCAAGCGGAATTTTGTAACTCAGGAACTAGAGCTCTGATAAAGACAAATAGGATACCATTAGAAAGCTGAGGATCTCAGCTATCTCGTCGAGTTTTGGTGGTTAAAGCGTAGCACTTTAAGCTATTCAAACGAGCATTTCCGCGAGGCGACTGGTCAGAACAAACCAACCAGTTATCCGTCAGCCGAGTTTGTATGGGGATGACCTTTCAGCTCGGCACCAGGTCGGCGACCTTTGCCATCACGGACAGCTCAGAGAGCCAATGAGATCAGAGAACATCGGCGATTGGCCAAAAGTCATCTTGAAGCTATTTTGGCGCACTTCCTGCATAATTTTATTTGTGTGTGACACAAAGGCTACTACGGGTGGCTTGTTGGCGCCAACTTCTCCGCCAAAAGTTCAACCCTTGCACAGTTCGCGCTGGAGATTTTGCGCCATTATCTAATATGATGTTAAGATGGATAATGGCGCAAAATC